CCCCCTCCAAAACCAGGATAAAGAAAAACCTTCCGCACAGAAGGTCCGGGGTAGTTCCCTTCTTTTGGCCCAGAAAAAAAAAAAAAAACCTCCCCACAGCTCCATGGACCTCTCGTCAAAAAAGTTTCTCAGCCCCCTGAACTAGGCTTGGGACCGGAAACCATCCAGCCCGAGCATACCTTTGAAGCTTGAAGGCCTTCTAGGTCCTCCAGATTTGAGAGCTTGGAATAAGTGGGTGCCCAACTTTTTGCTGTCCATTTTAGTAGGGGAACCCTCCCCCAAAAAATGGAATAAGTTGGTACCCACTTTTTGCTGTCTACTTTAGTAGGGGAACCTCTCCCAACCAAGAAAGGAACGGTGAGAAAGGGCACCTAGCTGGGGGACCTAGCCTTGAGACACCCATGGGCTCAGCTCGGCCCAGCGGCTTGTAGGATCCCAGGCCAGCTTTCTCCAGCCTCGGCTCTGCAGATCGCGTCACCCGCGCGTCACCCGCGCGCCTCTCGACTTTCCCAGAGGGTCACTGAAGAAAAACTCATATATTTTGGGGTTCCTTGCCCCCATGAAAAGAATGGTTGACCCAACTTGGATGAACATCCTCAGGTAAATAATGGTAGTTGTACTAAGCCCCATTGTTGCAATGGTTTGAACCTCAGGGGTATAGGATACACGCGAGTCACTTACATCATCTGTACCCGATGTAGAAGACCTTGTCTTTCTTTAAACAAATAACAGCGGGTGGATCTACTCAGCCAACCATTTTCCGGGGCCGCGGGTGAATCTACAACCCCCGCGAATTAACCTGAGGTGACCGGGATCAGCCGTCTGCCTTTATTTAGAACCAGCTCACGCGGAGTAAAACGAGCTACGAAGGTTTCTTACCCTCCGGATTTGGTTTACTTTTTGCATGAATCGCAGTTTGGCAATCAAACATCTGCCAAAGATCTGCCCCAAATAAACGCCGAAGAACATGCCAACCAAAACGTCTCCATTTCTTTCAGCCTGGAAAATCAAAACCAGCGATAGATTTGCTAAACCAACAGAGAAGATAATAAGCAGGGAGCAAATCCCATGGATCCGGTCCGAGCCGATGGCTTGCAGGAAGCCCAGCTGGAATTCAGTAAAGCCATAGGGTACCTGACGCTCCCAGTGCACCGGAAAACAGATCCTCAAATGATTCGTATGTTTCAACCCACATATATATATATATATATATACAGAAGGGGTGTTCCCTGGGATGTAGTTTCAGCGCTGCAAAGATCACATCCCCACCAACACCCGGTCTCTATATATATATATATATACATATTGTACTATAGTATATATATATAGTTTTGGACATGAACAAAATTGGTAAAGGCCTAAACAATTGGAACGGGGCTGTGGGGTCCAGTAAACCAATTGAAGCGTTGCCGCTTCCCAGATCTACGCGAACCCCGACCCTTTTGAACCCCAGGGTCCCAAACTAAGACTTCGAAACTATTCCAAAAGCTTAACATGTTTTTTATATATATATATATTTAAATTTATATATAAATATTTGTTGTTTTTTCGTTCGGTTGTCGTGGTTAGCCCCCCTTATTCATATACAAAGTCCCAAAAACGGAAATGAGACTTTGAACATCCCCCCGCCCCGCAGAAATCCTCAGTTGTTCAGTGACCCTGGAAAAATAGGGAATCCTTTTTGGGGAAGACCATTTTTAGTGGGGCAGCCACCAAAACAAAAGGGAAAAAGGGTGCCAAGGAACAACTGAGAATCTGCTTGAATTCCAAGTCGCAAGGCCAGAGCTTCCACGAAGTCCTCCTCCGCAGCTCTGCGCGGCACCGAGCTGCTCCGCCGAGAGCCGCGCACGCGCGCGCCCGGGAGGAAGGTCCATCCTCGCAGCAGCGCCTCGCACGCCGGGGGTCACACGGCTCCTTGTTTGGAGTTCGCCGCCAAAGGGGCCTTCCAAAGACTAAGCCGCCATAAGAGGGAATTCACAGAAGTGGGGACTAAGCTTGATCCCGCAATTCTGCTTTTTGGAGCTAGCCACGAATTTGGTAGCTCAACTCACCTGCTGAGTGGAGGGGCGAAAAAACAAAGATGGACAGCTGGCTGTTTTACACCAAAATGGTTCAAACACAAAAAGTGACTAACATCCAGTACAGGGAGACTTTCAGGTACAGGGACACCAAAAGGAAAACCGTTAAGCCATTTGAGGGGTCCCTATGGTCCATTCCATGTGTACCCTTCCCACATGGAACCCTCCCTTTTAAAAGAAATCGTCCACCGGGAAGGTTCCAACGAGTCGTGTCGCGAGCCGTCGACAAGTTCTTTCCGTGCCGAGGCGCCAGACCAAGCAGCCAAGCCGCCAAGAAGCGACGGGCCATGACTGTGATGACTCGGTTTCTCCGCGTTTTGCCGCGGAACCAAACAAATCTGCCCACCCGGCACATGGATTGGAAGCGGTTGGCTGCCCTGGTTGGTTGGCTGCCCTGGTTGGCTGGATGGCTGGGTTGGTTGTTGGCTGCTTGGAAGAGGTTTGCAGTTGGGTCTGCATTTGACTGGGACACTCCCCAAATTCGCGAATCAAACTTTCCGTCAAGGCCAAACGAAAACATCAAGCAAAGCAAACAAGGTGGGCGAAGTGTGGCAATGATCGGCAACACTTGGAACATCCTGGTGCGATTTGGCATCTAGAATCCCATCGGCGCCGCGATGAGGCTCCGGCTTGAACCCATGCGAAATGTTGGTTGCTTTCTGCTCCCCTGCTAAAAGTTTTTAACTTTTAGTGGCTTGATACGGAAAACCCATTAGTTGGCAACAAGTTCAAGTCCTGACATCCCTTGGCAAAATGCAGCAAAGACATGTTGCTGTCTGGCATGTTTGCTGAAACGATGAGGGAGCCCATCGCCCCGGCTTCTCAGTGGCTTCCCTGCAAACACAAGTAGAGCACCATCAAAAAGGTTGGCTCTCGCTGGCGGAGTGGATGGCCCCAGAAAAGTCCAAACTGTATATTCTACCACTGAAATGGTCCTCCCAAAAAGTTTAAAGATTATGAACTCAGGAAGCGAGGCTTCCCTAAAGAATCAAGAGCTCCATCAGAAAACAGCGACCCATGTCCTGCTCTGCTGCCTTTAGTCATAGCTCTTGAACATGTTTCAGCGGCTCAGAAGTGAGGAACAAGTAAACTCTATACTGCAAGCAGGCAAACAGGCACATGGACTCATCACTGGAATAGGACCGAACGCTGCGTGTGAACAAGCAGCTTGCATATGAAGCAAACCAGTAGATGACAGTAGACACTGGCCAACGACTATATTCTGAGCAACGTGCAATATCCACAATCCTCTACTGGTACTGTAGTCAAAGAAACTCGCTTTCCGAGCGGATGGGCCCAAACAAAAGTCTAATTTGTTTGTTTACCACCCAGAGGCTCCTGGCTTCGGCTTTCAATGGAAGACCCGACCCCTCCATTAGACACCCCCGGGAATCGGTGGTTGGGCAGGTTGTTTGAAGGCCCGAAATCAATCGATTTGGAGCCTCTGGGCACTCAAATGGTCTTTCACAAAAGATTTCCAAGTCCGGGAACTCAAGGAGGGATTGACATTGGGAACTCTCAACATACAAATTGGGAAAAGGGGGGGTTGCTCACCAAAAATCCAAATTGGGACGCACTGATCGACAAATGGGTGTGGGTCAAAAATAGGTACCTCAAATGGGACCCTGGCAAATGCAAACAGAGACGAAAACCCGCGGCCCCCTGGTGGCTTAATTTTGTTTCCTACCCAAATATTGACCCGAGCCAAATTGGACTCAGCCACAGCCCGAGTGCGATTCGAATCGCGGCCCAGGACGATACTCCCGGCTCAGCGTTTCACGGCATGAACACTTCCATTTGCTTAAGCCCCCGTGGAAAATAAAACAAAACCGTAGTGATCGATTCCCTTTAAAACCAGCAAGGGACAATAACAAAATGTTCCTTTCAGCAAATGGATGAATAGTGGGTGCTTGCTCTGTCATTTCCATCCACTTTCCAGTGCTCAAAAACCCAAATTGGGGGGGGGGGGGGTTGCCGGCCCAAAGATGGCAACCAAACCCAAAAAGTGACTAACGTCCGAAACGGAGCTCAGGAAGGGAGCCATACAAGATGGGAAGCTAACAGCACAAAAACCAATTTGAAGGTGGCCGCAGGGAGTGTCGGGTGGGAAACACGGCATCAACTTGCTTTTGGTGGTTTCCCTTGCCCCTCCCAACCAACCGCCTCAAAGATCGATCTCTGACGACGTATCGGTGGGCTTCGGGGTCGCGGCATGAAGAGGTATGGCCATGGGTCAAAACCCCGGTTATCCCCCCAGTGAACATCCGAGTCAATCCCCACGAAAATAGGTTCTAAAATGGGTGGTGCACCGAAAACCTCAAAATGGGATCCCATTGGTTTTGAACCATGCATGGCCGTATGACAACTCTCGCGTCCATGCGACCATTTTAGTTGAGAAACAAAGGGCCTGGAGCATAGGTGTCCTTTTGGGGGAATTAGATGGCCCTGGTAGATGAGTAAATCACCTGGTCAACCAGGGCCATCTATTCTTTCACAAAAACGACCAACAAGGACACCTATGGCCCAGAGAAGATCTCCACTGCCGGGGATCGCGGGGATCGCCTCGCTGGAACTTCGATTCCGATGCGCGCAACATCCGCTGAAGGAACCAACCTCGAAAACCCTTTTGTTCGGATCGCTTCGAATCCGTGGTCCCATATATCTCTTGCTTGCTGGGCGAAAATTTCCCGGACACTCGGAGAAACCGAACCCAAACTTATTACCCCTTAAAACTCCAAGCCCTGGGGAAGTTCATCTTTTACAGACATATATGTTACCCCCAAAAAGTTGAAAAGTTGTGTTTTTAACTTTCAAGTTGAAAAGTTATAGCCCATGTTACCCCCAAAAGTTGCGCCAGGTAAGAAACCCACCGCTTCGCGCCGCAAGTTGCGCATCGCTTGGAACTTCGCTGGGCGCCCCGGCCACGGAGATCGGGATCGCCTGCAGCACGCCGCGGAAGGCCGCCAGCGCCTGGGGAGGCTCGCAGCGGGGGTTTTGGTGTTCTGGGTGGAAAACCGGAAAAAAAAGAGAAGAAGAAACAAAAACACCCCGGTCTTTTTGACGTTGTTCCCTGAAAAGCAAAAAAAACAAAGCAGGGGCCCTCCGGAAAAGAGCCAAAAGTGGGGAGGCTTGAGTTTGTCGTCTTTTGAGGCTACTCCCCCCCCACCAGTTTTTGGCGGATTTTTGCTCAGGGGCACCAAACGTCAAGGGGAGAGACGTGGAGGGCCCAAGGGGTTGTCTCTCGTCTCGTGGGAAAATGGGTGTCCTTTTTGGTTGAATAGAGGATTTCCCTGGTAGCTTTGGTTGAACCACTACGTAAACCAGGAATCGCCCAACCGATTTTTCAACCAAATCAACCAAACACGACACCTATGCTCGTGTCTCGAGTTTCTTGAGGCTAGTTGCCCCCAAGTTGTTGGAGTTTTGTGTTTTTTTGGGCACCCTCCAACATGGATTTTGGTGTTGCTTTTGGTTTCCCTTTAAAACTAGGTCTAACCAACTCACTTCTCGCTCGGATTGGTCGAAAGCCCATCTTGCGGTTACTTCCCAAGTCTTGGTATCTCAGATGCCCAGTGGATTTCCATGGGAAAAAAAGGGCACCGGATTTTTTTGTTGGTTGAGTTAAAAGGGAACCCTTCCCAAAAGAAGTTGAAAAAAGGGCACCACTGGGCAACAAAGGTATGGTTCCAGGGGTTGATTCCTTGTCCATTCTTTTCAGCCATCCTTCTTTTCAAAAACCGATCGCCATTTCCACAGGGTGTTTGGTGGTTTTCTAGAAAGAAGGATCTCTGGAAATAATGGGGAAGATACTTTTGGAATGGTAGCAACAACTTTGCTTTTTGGCAGCCTAGTAAACATGAGCAGAACCACAAAACCCAAACAAAATGCCAATGGTTATCACCATGGTCTTCCCAAGTCTTCTTTGGCGCACTTCGCCAGAAACTCAAGGTTAGAACCGCGGGCGAAGTCACAGCACACAGGAGCTGGAACAGGTACTAATGAACTTAGCGCAACCCCTTGTTAGTTGATGTTTGGCAGCTACATGCTGCTTATCTTCAAACGTCTTCCCAACAAGTTGCCGTGCGGCTTACAATTTTGGATCGTACAGGCACTAAAATCACTAAAATACTCAATCGTCAGCTAGTACGTGTGCCAAGGTCCTTTACCTCTGGTGACTCCTTACTTGCCGAGTTACTTTGTCCAGTACGGAAATGGTTTCAGCTCTGTGCTGAGTGACAATCTGAACTGTACCGGTCAGAAAACGTCGCCAAGGATTGCCTGAGCTCGAAGAAGCATCATGCTGCGCTGCTTCACGAAGTATTCATAGGACTGTTGACGGGAACCGCAGTATGACCCCATTTATATATATATATATATATATATGTATATATATATATATATATATATCGTATTGGTGCGTCTTTTTTTGAGGGTACCCCTTTTTGGTGCTGCTTGAAAGGGACACAACAGGAAACCCACCATTCTGGGGGTCCAAGCTTAAAAAAAGACATCAGAGATTTGCAGCGCTGGCCTACATCGGTCGTAAGGAATGGGGCAAAAGCTCCCCCCTTGTGTCCAAGTACCTTCGCAGGTATCCTGGTTAGATCAGGTACTTGGACTTGGGACAAGCTCCGACCTGTTGAGGCCCGAGCTTGAGTACCAAACATGCGAATCACCACTGAAACCCAAGCATGTCTCCCTGAAAGAACATACCTAGGCAAATTGGTCGCTCCTGAGTTGTGGGAATTTATGCCTCCCCATGTTCTCCACAAAGCAACCGGAGACTACTGAGAATGACAGTGAAGCATGCTCACTTGAGGGACTGGGTTGGGATCCATGTCACGCGCGGGGCCCAATGAATCAACTCGTACGTCAGGTCAAGAAAAAATGCGAGCGCCTCACGTCCGATCGAGTACTGGCCAAAAAAACAGACCTGTTGCATCCCACTAAAATACTCACATGCCCAAAGGACCCAGAAATAAAAGGTCAACCTTTTGGGGCCATGACTAAAACTAGACCAAAAAGGAGAAACCAAAAGGTCAAAAGGTCGGGATTGGGCAACTGAGAATATAGTCCAACCCCACAAAGTTCAAAGCCCAGGAAGTCTCAGGGCTCACGGGAGCATCTCCGTGCTCACGGGATCACTCGCGCGCTGGGCGCGTGGCATCGTTGAACTTGCCCGAGGTGATCATCCGCAAAGCCTCCCTGGCACGATCCAGAATCACCTCGCCGAAGCGCTTCGGGGTTCGCGAGCGCGCGGCCGCGAGCGCGCGGTCGCGAGCGAGCGGGTCAGAAGCTTGCTCGGAGTCTCTCCTCAAATCCACGAACCGGGCTCCTGGGTAGAATGGGGTCTGTTTTGGGACGTGAAACCTTTCCACCATTGCAAGCTTGGTTGCTGGAAGGACCCCTCTGCAAAGAGTTGAAAACCTGTCCAATGGAAAATCCGAGCTGTTCCCCGCAAAGTGAAAGTCCAAAGATCTATAGCCAAATAGACATAAAGCTTCCAAAGCGTCCAAAACTCAGAAGACAGGCTTCGCTATGTCACTACTGTTTCTATTTGAAACAAGCCATGAAAAAAAAAACTAACAGGTTCAAACCGTGCTCCCAAATAGAATGCCTTTCCACATGGTTGAGAAGCAAAATACCTCCGCGCTCCGTGACACATTCCTATGTCGACTCAACTCGCAGCGGTACTCACCAGGGGCACCCGGGTGGCCTCTCTCGATCCATTGATCAAGTCCAGAAGCAAAACACCCTCCACCACTTCCAGCTTTCATGAAAGATCCCTTCGTCTTCCCGCGCTTGCGTTGCTTTCTAACAACCGAGGCTTCAAGCAAAACGCGCGCTGTAAAGCGACGGGGATGACGCTTCGTACCCTGGGCAGCTCTTTAAAATCCAGTTCAAGCATGCCTTCAGCGAACAACACAGGGGTGGTCGGAGAATCAAACAAGTAGCCGGAGATACTTTCATGGAATCCTGCCCAAGCTCTCAAGATGCGTTTCTTGCCATTGAACCACTTGGGACAAATCTTCAGAAAAGGGAACGCATTCCCCATCAGTCACTTCAAACTTCAGCTTTCATAGAGATACGGCAGTCTTTTTCGGCTTTTGTTTTTTCCTCACGGGCCAAAAGGACCTGACCTGTTGAAAAGGATCTTGACGAAATATGAACCAAAATTGGACAACCGAAAGATCAAAAGGTCGGTTTTGGAGAGAGTTTTAAGTTGTCAGTACAAACTGATCTTCCATCAACACGTCTCTCTAGCCGTAGTGAACCCAATTTTCTAGCCAGGCGCAAAAGCGCTTGGCATGCAACAATGGTCAAAGTGCGAGATGAGACCCTCACCCTGCTCGGTGCTTTCGAAGGACTGACAGAGTTTCGCTGGGCTGATGAGAGCCCACTTCGCTTGCTGGTGCTGGAGCTTCTCAGTATAGGGCATGCTTCCGGGTTCTGGCAATGAACCGTTTGGGATTCCCTTTTGAAGGAAACCAGACAAAACCTGACAGGATAGTTTTGCTTGGGGTCGTTCCAACTCATTCGGGTGTGGGTTTTTCCAAGGGAAACCAACAGGATTTTGAGGGGTCCTCTAAAAAAAGGACAGGCCTACAAGAAGTTCTCTCATTTTGCACAGCAACTTCGATCTCTTTTTTTTCCTCGTTTTTTCCTGTGGGGTTCCAAGATTATGGACCAGAGAGTATTCCCTGCCTGTCGAACCTGTCGAATCAGCAACTTCCAGCTCACACTCCGTCTTCCCCGTCACGCCTGCGGAGTAAAGAGGATCTTTGGCGCCAGCCTCGGGAGTCCACGTCGCAACTGCGACTTGGGAACTCCGTGGCTTCGCCACGAAGCGATGCGCGATGCGTTGCGACTCAAGGGCAACCAGTGGGGCAACCGAATAAGATAAAAAACGTCAGCTGAGTCAGAATCAAAACCCGGTATTAAAATGGTCTACCCAGAACCATGTAAAGAATTAAGAAGGCGGCCGCAACTATTTATGGCTGGGAGTCTCCCTTACTAACCTGCATCTACCCGGGTTTTGATTGTGGCTCAGCTGAGCAACTGGGCACCAAACGAGAAAACAAAAAACAGCTAGGGCCATGCAATTCTCAATGTGAGATCGTACTGATATGCTGCAGGCAGCAACCAAATGGTTGCATTTCTCAACATAGGGAAACCCCCAAAATGGCGTGCTTCCTGGTGCTTTCCCTGGATCCCAAAAGTGGTCCGCCATTCTGGTCACTTCCTGGAAGCCCCCTCCAACCGAAATCAAGGCGAATCTGCACCATCCGCGAGAAAGAAATCGAATGGACGGTTGTCAACATACGGCCGGTTCCTTGTTCAATACCCCTATGCAGATATGCAGATCTTTGGTTCTAGTCCCAGTTTGGTTGAGCCTTGGCTCTAGTGCAAGTAGGGGTGGTGTCCGCAGACAGATCCGCCACAAGCATCCGGTAATGACGACATCCTTGGTGCTAGTCCTTCTTTAGTTCTAGTCCTAGTTGAGAGATCCCCAGTTCTAGCGTTAGATGGGCAAATCATGAACTGGAGAGGAAAAAGGTAGGTCTTTGGAGGGGAGCACATATACGTAGACATGTGTGTGTGTGTCTATCTCATAGGAACCATCCATACCGCCCAGTCTGCTTACCCTTTCGGAAATCCCAGGCATTCGATGTGACTTTTGTCCGAGGAATTTACCTCTCTCTACAAATAACATGCACACAGGATATTGCGAGGTCACTTGGTTGACGTTGGAAGGGGAGCACAAATTTAGAGTTTAGAAGTTAAGTGGGGATTTCCCACTATACCACAATAAGCCAAAATCTAAAATGTTTCCCAACAACAACCATGGTGATGTGGAGGTATCTCCAGCCTTCCCCCGTAAAACAAAAGTTCGTGACTGTCCATGGACAATCCCCGCATGTCCATGGACAATCCATGGCCACTCCGGCGAAAAGGCCATGCCTGCAGATTAACATGGAACACAAGCAACTAGTTTTAGGATCGGAATCTCCAGTTGAAGGACCCCTTTTGGGTTCTATGTTTAATCAGCAGTGGAGTAATTACCTCGCAACTTCGAAGATGCCCCAAGTTCCACTCACAGAAAGTGGCAACCCGAAGCCAAGAATTTCCCACAGAGTTTTCTTGTCTCTGCCTACTCAATCCACCAAGTGGTCGTATATCGTCACTTGTCAGGGCTTCGGTTCTTGAACCTCAATCCCAGCAGACTTGGGATTCATGACTTCATCCCTGTCTCACTTTCTGAGTGGTTTGGCAAAAACACAAGTTGAAATTTGTTGTTTATCACCAAAATGGTCTTCCTGAAAAGTGACGAAACTCAGGGAATGAGCTTGACATGTTTTCTGGGCCACGCGTGTGCGTGGCAACGCAAAAGGGGTGGCGTCCAGAGAGATTTCCTCCCAAAAAGACACCTTGGGGTAGCGAACCTATATGACAAGGTGAAGGGATTTGAATGCTGGATGGTGTCAACCCAGAGGCTCTCGATTGATTTAGGGCCTTCAAACAACCTGGTTTTGAGACCCCCAACTACCTCCAGGGTGTCTAATGGAGGGGTCGGGAAGGAAGAACCACACCAAAACTGGACACTGCCAGAGTGTCTGCATCCATCTAGATTTTGGATTGCTGACGAGGTCGGTGGAGTGTCATCCAGCCAGCCCCACCGCTGATATTGCACCCTAGTTCACCCCACAAGACGTAGCTGCATAATCCAGTCTTTCTCTCTTGAGCCGATGTCCACGACTGCAGCCGCACTTGATACGAGGTTGCCAAACAATCGACCCAAGTGTCTCTGGGCGGGTCTTCAGAAGCCTCCGAAATGCGACAGCTAGGACAAGCCCAGACGATACCGCCATCTCGTCTCGCGCAGGTCCCGCCACGGCGGCCGCTGGAAGGACCGCTCTCCAAAAGCTTGAATGGACGACCCTACAGATTTCCCAGAAAGTTGAAGTCTAAAAATCCAACCCAACAGCCAACGGCAATCAATATTGTGTCTCATAGTGGAAATGAGGAACTATGGGCTATTTAGTACTCAGAGTTTACGTAGCGACCCTTGGTTGACAGGTTTTCTTTCAGGATATGTCCTTTACAAGGGAATTCTCCAAATCGGATGGAAAGGATAGCTTTTGCCCAATTCGGACGATGAACATCCTCAGGTAAATGTTGGTTATATGAACCTCCCCTTTCAACAGGGATCCTTACATTATACACCTGAACATTGCCCTGTAAATGGTGGTTTCAACCTTTATTTTGGTGTTGAAAAAGCCATCCATGTTTCAAATGGCAAGGCAAAATCAATTTCTTTTAAGCAGCCCTGTTCAACTACCCCCAAGAGCCCCGGACCAAGGCCGCCCCAGCTCAATGCGTCTCCGAGCGCCCGCGCTCCCGAGACTTGGCGCTGCCCTCCGAGAGCAGCGGCCAGTGCAGCGAGGGCATCTGCGATCCAGGGCTCCCCGAAAAACCCCGAAACCAAATACTTACCCCTTAAAACTCCAAGGGTTGGGGAAGTTAACCTATTACAGACATATAGCCCATGTTACCCCCAAAAAGTCGAAAAATTGTGCTTTTAAGAGGTAAGAATAGTGTGCACCCTATTTTTCTTGATTTGGCCCCTCCAAACTAACCCCCTAAACCAATTTAAACAGTGTTCACCCCATATTTCTTGATTTGGCCCCTCCGAACTAACCCCCTAAACCAACTTAAATAGTGTGCACCCCATATTTCTTGATTTGGCCCCTCCAAACTAACCCCCTAAACCAACAAAAATAGTGTTCACCCCATATTTCTTGATTTGGCCCCTCCAAACTAACCCCCTAAACCAACTTAAACAGTGCTCACCCCATATTTCTTGATTTGGCCCCTCCAAACTAACCCGCTAAACCAACTTAAACAACGCTCACCCCATATTTCTTGATTTGGCCCCTCCAAACTAACCCCCTAAACCAACTTAAACAGTGCTCACCCCATATTTCTTGATTTGCCCCCCCCAAACTAACCCCCTAAACCAACTTAAGCAGTGTTCACCCATATTTCTTGATTTGGCCCCCTCCAACCTAACCCCCTAAACCAACTTAAACAGTGTTCACCCCATATTTCTTGATTTGGCCCCCTCCAACCTAACTAAACCCACTAAACGCAGGGCACCCGCCTATTTGTAAACTGGGGTTGATGAATAATGTTAACCCCCCAAACCAAATAATGTTCAACCCATATTTATTAACACCGGGGTGGTTTTGGCCCCTCGCAAAGTGGTCGGATTGCATCGCCGACGCCGAAAACGCATCAACCTCATCGCTTTGCGATGGAGACCACCGTGCCAATCGGACAAGATGCACAGCAAGCTGCCAGGGGTGCATCCATGTCTCCTTGCGGCGTAAGCCCATCGGGCGTCGCATCATCTTCCGCCGAGCGACTGCGGCGGCCTCAGAGCGGTCCATTCCACCAAGCGTCTGCGTCTGATCTCCAGCCCAACCCCCAAGGCAGCCTGCAGAGAGAAAGGCCATGGGCACTACTGCTGCGCTTCATCCATGACCACCAAATCTGCCTCAAAGATGGGCGAACTGCCATGCCGAGCGAACCGCATGTCATTGAGCAGGACCCCTGTAGTGCACAGGACACATTTCACCCAGGGCTCCCAACCACTAAACCAACTAAAAACCTCAGGGGACAGTTGGTTTAGTGGGGGGCTCTTTTCTTTCCATTCCGATCCCAATCTAACTGTGCTGTCCGTTTTCTGATCCCTTGTGGGTCAAATGGAAACCTCACCAATGAACCAACTACGAACCTAAGGAACGAGCTACAAGTTGGGAGCAGCTGAAGCAACATTCGAAGGTTGAGAGATTACCCAGTGGCTCCAAACCAGAAATCCCGAAGCATGCGCAGGTTAGTTCCAAAAGCAAGCTGAGGTGTAGCTCTAAGACAACAATATTGCTTCTGAAGCGAACACACCTCGCCTTGGCCGGACGCCTGGGAACCGAAACCTCTGCGGACTTTGGGTGTGCGAATTCGCAGTCGCTGTGGCGCGGTGCACATTTTGAACCCTCTGCGGTTGGGGGGGTGTGGCAACATCAAACATGAACCTCTTTTTGGTGTGTTTCATCGCAGTCGCTGTGGCTCGGAGCGTGTTTAGAACATCGAAAGTGAAACCCTCTGCAGACTTTGGCATCGCGGGTCGGATGGCTCTGGCTGTGGCACGGTGCACATTTTGAGCGTGGAGCGTGAAGCCTCTTTTCGGACTTTCGGGCGAGGGGTGTTAAAGGGAAACCAAAAGGAAACCAACCATTTTGGGGGATGCAACTCTGTTCCCCTCTGCCAAACCGGGCCACGCAGCCGCAAGATGGACCAACTCGCCTCCCCCCCCTTCGGCCCCCAGAGAGGGCTTATTTCTCCCCTGTACCCTGGTGGGGTCTCAAATAGAGACAAACCCTTGGGGTTCAAACCACATATAACCACCATGGTTTACCTAAGTGTCATCATGCAAATTGGGTCAACCATTCTTTTAAGGGGCAAGGAACCCCAGAAAAACCCTAAAAGCCACGCTGCCAGCCTGCGGCAGTGCTGGCAATGAGCTGCATGTGGCCTGGGCGTCAGAAACTGCATGTTGGTTTTAGGGGGTTGTTTGAAGATGTAAACTGGTTGGTTGTGTCCCGATGACACCCTATGAATGGTGGGATAAGCCACCTAGAAGCTGGTATCCACAGTACCACTTATCTGGGCTGTCCTCAGATCCGTTGCTAAAAGTTGACAATTTTAGTGGGTCAATTCCGGAACCCCAACCACTAATTCAACGAAAACCCCACCTAACAACCTAAGTTGAAATGGATGGCTGGGAGCAACTAAGTTATACGATTAATTTGATAGTAATATACTATGTTGAGAGCAGTTTCAGGAGATGTGCGCCCATTCGAGCCTTCGTGGTAGAAACAAACGCAAAAATGCCCAGTGGATTTCCATTGAAAAAAGGCATCCTTTTTTGGTTGGTTGAGTTTAAAAGGGAACTCTTCCCCAAAAAACACACACACAAAAAAGCGGAATCCACTGGGCAACGGAAGCCCAAGCGCCACCCAAAGACATATGATTCTTGGCCAAAAAGCAGTCACTGGTGACTGCTGGAAGGAACCTCCTTGTCCATTAGAACCTTCGTGTTTGCCCCACCGAAAAGAAGCAGCTGCCTTTTTGTTCAGGTATTCTCTGGGAAGCCCCGGCGGCAAAAAGTTGGTGCAAACAGTTTTCACACTCCCCGGGCGTCCTTGATTTTCCCAGATCCCGTTTTCCCGCCTTGTTGGCGCAGCTTGTTTTGCCACGCTTGAGTCCTTGTAAAAAAGGGGCTACCCGGATAACGCATCGGGCTCCCCCCGGCACTTCTGTGCCGCTCTGCCGGCCGGGTTATTTACCGGCACGACCCAAAAACTACTTCCCCTTCTTCTCCTCGTAGTATTTCTTCCTCATGTAGTCCATTGTCCAGCCGCGTTTGGCATGGTCGTGTTGAAACTGATTCCAACTTGTATTGCACTTCTTGAATGGCGGCCTGTGCAATGCTCCCGATGATGACGCACTGCCGCCCTCCTCCTCGACCTCCTCCTTTCCTCCCGGCTCCTTGCGAGCCTCTTCTCCACTTCCACCAGGCTCCTTGCGAGCCTCCTCTCCACTTCCAGCAGCACCATGACCCCCTCCGGAACCACGCTCCTGCCTTTTGACTTCCACCTCCACATCGTCAACGATCAGCCTCATCGAAGTTGGCTTCCGCCACTCAAGCCCCTTTCTCTGCGGCCAACTCCTGCTCCGCTGCTCATCGACCTCGTCGACCTCCTTTCTCGCAGGCTTCACCACCGAGTTGTCCCGACCAACTCCCGGCCCCACCCACAATTTCTTCATGACGTTGCTGGCCGCCTTGGCCGTCCACTTTGCCACCACCGCAGCTCCGATCGCCATCAAGATACCTCCAATCACAATGATCACGTCGATCATCTCCACGCCCGAGATCTCCGCCTCGGCTCTAGCTCCCTCCGCCCTTGCCACAAGGCTTGCGCCTATCGCCATCATAATCCTAGCCTTAGTTTCACCTAGGTTGGGAGGGCAGCCCGACGGGCAGTGGTTCTTATCCAAAACAGCTGCGGTCCTTCGGCCATCCTCCGGGGTTGAGTCCGGTTCATCTGCCCTGGACTTCTTTGTGGGCGGTTCATCTTCCCTGCCCAATCTTCTCAGGCCTTTTTGCCTGGCTTCCTCCCCGTCAGGCCTTCCTACTGTCGCTGGTTCATCTTCCCTAGCGATCTTGCTTCCTACTGTCGCTGGTTCATCTCCCCTAGCGATCTTGATCTTTTTCTTGTGCCCTTCGGCGGCCCAGTGGCTCTTCTTAGATGCCCAATGGCCCTGTTTCACCATACCAAGCTCAACCAAAAAGCTACCAAAAGCCTGACCTAACAAAAGCTTGGTGAAACCATCAGCCACCAACTGTACACCCGGCATGTGCTCCAACACCCACTCACCCTCCTCCAAGGCCCACCTCAAGGCTGAAGCCCTGATACGAAGGTGTCGAGTCCTCCAATTCCCTGCTCCATTGGATGCCAGGCTGATCGCCGCCATGTTGTCCCCGTACATTCTCTTGTACTCCACTTTCTCGCCAGTGACGACCTCCGTGAGCGACACCAAGGCCCTGCCCACCGTCAGCGCCTCGCAGTATCCAATCAACTCGCCCTCCGCCGTGCTCTGTGCCACAAAGGGCTGTCTCACCGACTCCCAGCAAATCGGAGCTCCTTCCACAAAGCCCACAATGCCCTGCACGCTTTTGTCCTCCCCGCCCGACGCGTAGGAGATGTCCGCGAAAACCTCCACCATGTTCACGCGCCTCTTCATGCCAAGGCCTTCTCTTGACGCCCATCCTCCAACCGGTCCATAGTTCAAGCCCCGATCAGTGGTTGCCTTGACATACCTCAACACGTCCTTGCCCAGGTTGACAACCTCCACACCCTTCCTTGTCCATCTCGACATTGCTGCGACCGCCACCGCAATGTCCGGTCTCGTCTTCGAAGCCAACCACAGCAAAGCGCCCGTGATAGCCTGAGCCTCTCTGATCTCGTCCGGGGTGCCATCCTTGCTGTCCTCATCCGGCAGCTTGTAGCTCAATGCCTCCATGCCCTCCTTGATGTCCCACTTGGCCACTAAGTCCTCCGCGAAGGCCTTCTGGTTCACTAAGTACCCATCATCCTTCTTGTAGACCTCAAAGCCGCAGAACCTCATGGGCACCTCAGCCGTTGCCCACTCCGCCGGGGACAACTTCCAATCTCCGTCCTCCATCCTTGCCTTGGCCGTCTCAATGACCTTGTCCTCGCCGGCGAGCATCACGTCATCTACATAGATGGACATCAGTCCTCGCACCCTCCCGGTCTCTACCTCAATGATCCTCCATAGGTTCGGCTCCTCTGTCTCCAGGAATTTCATCCTCTTTCCATCTCCTTCCCACTCCATCTTGCGGATCTCGATGTCCCGGTGAACACTCCAGTCTCTAGGACTTGTGGTTAGTCCATAGACCGCCTTGTCGACGACCCACATCTCATCCCTTTGAGCGATGCCCAACTCCTTGAACACCGACGGGACCTCCATGACAATCGTCCTGCCATCATCTCTTCGCGGAGCATTAAGGAACGCCGTGCGGATGTCCGTACACAAAAGGCTCCATCCTCGTTGTCCCGCAGTTCTCAGCACCATCCGGATTTGCAACCCGTCTGCACCTCCCGCGTACAGCTTCTCCGCATCCTTGCCGGCTGAATAGTTGCCGCACACCACTCCTCTGACCTTCCGGCGCCCATCCGGCGCTTTCCTGGTGCACACAGCCTTGGCCGGAAGAACTTCGACAGGGCCTTGGATCTGGTCGATGTCCCTCTTCCTGATCGGCTTAACCGCCTTGCTTTCCTCCACCAATGCCGTGTACTCTTTCTTCGCCGCCACCTTCCATTCTTCCAGTTCGCTCCTCACTTCGCCCATCGACACCGTCTTCGTCACGAGCCACTCCTCTTCTGCTTTCGCTGCGCCCTCGACCTGCATCCGGTTCAGTGCAGCTTCGATGTGGTTCCTCCGTTGAAGCCCTTCTCGTAGTACTCCAAGCCACATCTCTTGATCTTCTCCTTCTGCATCTAAAATCTCCAACTCTTCCTTGACCCATTGAGTGACATGTTGGTGCCGTTTTTCGAAGTGGGCCTGGTCCTCTACCTTCTCCCCCTCGACGATCATCGTCGACATAGCTGTTTTTTCCCGCAGTCGCCTCCTTGGCCTTTCCGCTCTCGGCATCAAGAGGTCCGCACCTACTCGTTCCTCAAGTACCACTTCCTCCCCCGGGTCGATGATCACCTCCTCGGGCTCCCTGATCGCATCCGTGGTGGCAAAATGCCGTCCATCCTCACAGCTCCTCACCCAATAGCCACCTGATGTTGTTGACATCACTGCGTCTGGGCCCATGATCTTGACCCGTTCGCGGTCAAACCTCCAGTCCTGACCTCTTTCATTCCAACTCTTCTTCTTCACGTAGGCGATCGTCCCCCACGGCAGCATTTCCTTCACCGGCAGACCCACCGCGTGCAATTGCCTCCGTAGGCGTCGCTCTCCAGCATGCCTCAACGCCATCGGCCACAGGGTAGCTGGTTCTCCGCCCGCCTTCAGCAATGTTCTCGTCGCCCTTTTTAGAACCCCGATCTCTGCCTCCACCCGTCCGTTCTCCTTGAAGGCGTCCCCCGGGACCGTTGTCTTCACGATGTTCCGGTCCTGAGCCCAGCGTTTCAGCTGCACTCCCATCAGTTCTCGAGCTCGGTCCGTGTGCAACCTATAGACCGGCAGACCCATCTCCCTGAGCCTCGCATAGATCCGCGCGATCGCCGGGATGACATCCGACGCCTGTCTTGATGTGATCGGCTCCACAAACGTCAGGTTGGTGACCCCCACATCCTGCATTTCTTCTACCTTCTTCTCCCAGATGTCCCCCGCCTGGATCTCATTCTTGACCTCTTCTTCGGACATCTGCTCTCCTTCTTCCTTTTCTTCCAGCATATCAACTTCCACTTCTTCCACATCTCCGGCTTCCGGTTCCGCTTCTTCTTGAGGTTCCGCAAGCAGAGATCTTCCTTCTCCATTCACCGGATAGGTGTACACCGCTGCCACGAAGTACTTCGCCTGGCATCTCTGATCCTTCCCAGCCGCCAGTTTTCCCGACAGATCCACCGCCAAGGTGTACGCCTGTGGATGTTGAACTCTCCGATGTGCTCGGCCTCTTCCTTGGCTTTCCACACAGACCCGACAATCTCGCCGTGCTGGTTGATGATCGCACGCGAAATGCCTTTTCCACTGCTCCATTGCTGCAGCGCTTAGAGGCCGAAGAGCTCGAACCACACCCAGCCCTTCTTTCTCATGATTCCGCAGCGCCTCCTTGAACACTTGCACCAGCCCCGGCGCCCATGCTGACCACCTCTTGGTCTGAGTGATCCGCTCCTGCAGGTTCTCCGACCATGCTTCTCCGCCTTGACCAGGTCCTGCAACCTCCCCCAGTCCCCGCATCTGCTCCAGGTTCGTGGCTATTGTTGTCGGCTTTCTTCGCTCATGCCCTAGCGGTCCTTGATCAAAGTGAATCATCTCCATCTCGTACCGCTTGGCAAATGCCTTCCACGCCCGAAATCGCCAGACGCTGACCAGCTTTTCCTTCGGAATGTCCACCCTGTAGTCCCCAGGGTCCCGAGGCTGTTCTTGCCCATACGCCACCGCCGGGAGCTTCCGGCTTCTCGCGGTCTCCTCTGCCACGATGTACAACGTCATCATCCTCAACCAAAGCACGGAGTCCCCTTCCACCATTTCTCTCTCAGAATGCGTGAGATCCGCGAACCCGTAGGGATGCTCTTCGCTTCTCACCGGCCTGGGGCCTGGCGACCTTGATCTGCAGGCAGACACAGTGCGACAGGGCGGACCCCCTATCACACTGACCACAGCTCCACTCTTCGCCAAGGCGATGAGGTAACTGTAAACATCATCATTGAGCAAATCCTGCCCAGGGTTGTTCACCTTGTCCAAGCAGACCATGATCGTTTCACTCTCCTCCATGTCTGCCCACTTCTTTTCCGTGCCCGAGAAGAGATGCAGGTGGATTCTCCTTGCTCTCTCCATCTTCCTCCTTTTCCGCCTGTTCCACGGCAACTTCGTCACGTCGTACTCCTGTGTGACCACCAACTTCGCCAACAACCTGTCCGGGACGTCCACGAAGAACTCCTTCAACGCCTTGAGCATGGCCTCCTCGTAGATCAAGCTCTTGGTCGGCTCCACCTGGCCCTTCAGCATCGCCAGTTTCCAATTGAGCTCTGCTTTCTTCTGCTCCATTTGCTCGATCATTTCCAAGGCCACTCCTTCTTCCACCATAGGACATCCTGCGATCATCGTGACCTCCACCGGTTTGCCCTTGTAGGTCACCTTGCACACGCCGTTGGCCCATGTCACTATGTAACCCACCTCCGTCATCGCTCCCATGGGCACAATGACCTGCGTGCCCTTCTCTGCCAGCAGCGTCAATGTTCCCGGCTTGCTCCTCATTCTTGTGCTCGAACCATCCGCCAAGTGCACCTCCACGATCTCGGCCTGGTTCCATTCTGCCTGGTTTCTTCCAGGCCTGAGTGCATGTGTTGCTCCTCCATCAAGGAGGCCCATGCCGAGGCTTTCCTTGCTCATCTGGTTCATCACGATCACCGCATTCATCGACGGCAACCTCAGCGATCGAAGGAGACTGGTCGCCTCGGCTAGCAACTCCCCCGTTCCGCTGCCCGCTCCACCGGCCATAGTTCCACCACCTGTAGTAGCCGCCGTTGCCGATGTAGCATCCTTTTCCACCATGTTGCTGGCTTCTCCACCACCTTGAAACTGCGATTTTTCACCGCCTGTACCACCACCTGTGCCTTCACCTCCCCCCGAGCTGCCACCCAGCTCGCACTTCGCTACCGTTGCCGCCGGCTTCGGCGTTGGTCGGCTCCCCCCATACAGGTTCCCCGGCTTCACAGTGCAGTCTGCCTTCCTGTGGGTCTTCGCACCGCAGGTCCAGCATCGCGCCGCCTTATCTGTGACGCCTTCCCAGTCGTGGGGCCATTTGCAACTCCGGCCAGCTCTGCAACCATTCTCCGAGATGAAGTACCTGCAGTTGTTCACCTCCTTCTTGGCGGATCCAGCTCCGTGTTGATGACTGCCGGCATGCTCCTTGCCGCCACTCATCGCCTTCACCTTGGCTACCACTCCTTCGCTGGTCATCAGCTTTGCCGTGTCCATTTCCGCCAGGAGCAACTCGGAGTAGCTCCAGATCCCCAGCGATGTCGGGGCTGTGTCCAGTCCTAACTGAGATCTCGCCTGGGCTACCCTGAACGCCTGTGTTCCACCTTTGTTCACAAGCTGAACCACCCGCTCCAAGGCCGCCGCCAGCAAAGTTGGATCCGGAAGCGTAGCACCAATTTCCTGCGCCCGCAGGTAGTACCTCCGCCATTCCCTCAGTGATGAGGCCGCTTCCGTATAGTTCCTCAGGTTGCCCAGGTCCGTGAGCTTCTTCAGGATCAAGGCTCGTTCTCCTGGTCCTCCTGGCTGATAGGTCACCAGCAACCGGTACAGCACCCCGGTCGATGTGATTTCCCGCGCGGAGATCAACTCTTTGCGGATCTCCTCCGGCACCGCCTTCAGCAGAAGCGTGACCCCCCGCTGTTCTGTCCTGACAAACCGCGGGGTCTTTAGCCTTTCCGGGATGTCCACCGTGATCTTGAGCCTCTCCAGCGGGGTTGACTTCAACCAGACCTCGTAGAGCTGCTTCGCCTGGCCCATTGTTCCGGCCCACCATTCCGCCGCTCCCTGGGACAGATCACTCATCTGCGGCCCAACCTGTGCCAGCCAGTCTCCAAGAGTCAACGGAGAATGGTCATAGATCAACTCCGTCAACTCCACCTTGCCACCAGCACCTCCTGACTCCACTTGCTCAACCACGGTCTTCACATCCTCCGTGTTTTCCCAGACATTCCAGCTCTTCCATGCCTCCCAGCTTTGAGAGTATGGATGGGATTCCCACCCTGTTTCCCCCCAGTGATCATCCCACGGCTCCGACCACTGGATTTGCCACCCACGATCATCTTTGCGTTCGTCACGCGGCGGATCGCCTTCAGGTAGCGCTGTTCCTCCCGGTGTCCTTTTTATACCTCTCAACGGCGACCTTGGTGGGGACCTTGATCTCCGTCTCGGTGTCCCTTCCCTTGGTGGTGGAGGCGGCGGTGGGGGCATTTCTGGCGGCACCATCATCAACTGATGAGATTCCATCGGCGTTTCAAACACCTCCATCTTCTCGGCAGGCGTCACAAACCTCTCCGCTTCCTTCTCATCACATCTGGCCTTCCAGAGCTCTGCCTCCAACTGCCACTTTCTCTCCTTCGCCCTCAAGTCCTTGATCGTGTCGAAGAGGTACTTCCTCTGCTGCTCCATTCCGCGAATCTTCCTGCACGCCTTCATGAAGTTCTTCTCCATCTCTTCCGCGAGGTCCATGTCTCCGATCAGCTCGTCATCATCATCTCGTTGAGCTCTTTCAGGGACCCACACCTTGTGCTCGTCGTTCCAAAGCCAGTCCAGATCCAGCCGGGTCAGATTCTTCGATGCCCCCATTGCTACCTGCGAGCTCTGGCCAGGGAGCACCCCTCTGTTGCCCGTCCTTTTGCATGCCGCCTCCCACAGCCGCTGATCTCTGAGGCTTTGGTCCTCCATAAGATCATCTGGTTGATCTTCCCCTGCATGTGGTCCTCGCCCACCATGTAGTAGATCTCCTTTTCCTCCTTGCCGAAGAGCTCGTGGATCTTGTCTCCCAACTCCGCCTTCCGCCCAACCTGGACCGCGTAGTTCGGCTTCCCGTTCCACAGGTCTCCCTCGCATCATTCCAGGCCTTCCGATTCCTTTCCCCGGTGGCCCTTGTCCTTCACCCGGCCTTAGGTCACCATGATGTGGTGGCTCTCTTCCATTCCCATGTAGTAGAGCTCCATCTCCGCCTTGTTCCTGCCCATTGCCTGGACGTCGACCTTCCTCCTGCAGACCATGCTCATCGCCGTTGGCCATTCCGGCATTTTCCGCATTCTCCAGGTCCGCTGTCAGGTCCCTCCTTATCTCGCTCCAGAACTCTTCTGTTCTCGTCCTACTGCCAGCAGCATCTGGGTGGCCACCAACTCCATCTTGCCCGGGAAGATCTCCCTCAGGAGCGCCACCGGCACCTCCCCAAGCGTCCATCTCCGTCTCGACCTTCTGGGGGCTCACGGTGTCCGGGACCTTGGGCAAACCATCGGGCCTCATTGCTCGCAGCCTTGCGGCCTCCACCGCCCGTGAACTCCAGAAAGGATTTACATCCACCACCTGCCGCTGACCTCGCTCTTGCTGCGGTTCTCCACCTCGTTCTTCTTCATGAAGAGGTAGGTCACCGTCGGCTTCCGCCACCATGGTACCCTCCATGGTCACCGCGTCCACCGACCTCGCCCTTCGCCTCCGCATCCCAGCGTCCATGGCTACCGAGCGATCAACATGTTGGGCTCATAACCCTTGTTGGCGCAGCTTGTTTGCCACGCTTGAGTCCTTGTAAAAAAGGGGCTACCCGGATAACGCATCGGGCCCGCGAAACCGAACACCTGCAAACGATCAAGGGAAGATGTTGCCACATCTTCCCGTTCCCTAGGGTTCCTTGACCCCAAAAGAAATGGCAAGCACCCAATTTGGAGGATGACACTCCTAGTTTAAGACCATGGTCCTTCTATCACCCCCCCCTGTTCCTCATGGTGGCTTGCACCCCAGGGCTCGAAGCCCCCTCTCCCTCTCGCTCTCTCAAAACCCTCCAAGGGCCCGGCCCAGTAGGCCTCCTTGAAGATGGCCTCTAAAGGCTCCACCTCGGAGAAAACTCGACTCCATCCCCAATTTTGGAGGGGCCTGGCTGTGTATGGGTGGGGTTGGGGGGGAGCAAAGCACATGGAGGGGCTTAGGTGAATTTGGGCGTCTCACATGTTCGGACCAGGAACCGAGTCCCCCAACGGAGTTCAGGTGTTCCTTTTGGGGAAATCCCGCAGCTCCATTCAGTTTTGGGGCTTTTGGGAAGGACACACGGCGTGGGACAACAGCGTGGTGTGCGAGTTTTCGGAGGATGGAACGGGTGACGCGAGATGAGCGACTCACATGCGCACTCTGTACTGGGAGCAAGGATACCGGTACAGTGGCTCGTGATCTTCGGTCTCTTCAAGCAACCCCCCGCCATGATGCATTACTGAAATGCCTGGTCTCAAAAGTGGTGACTGATATTTAGCCCGCTTGGACACATGGTTGTGGAACATGCAGCAGATATTTGCTACATGTTTGAATGGTCAAGTGTTCCCACCCGTTTGGACTCATTGACCTCGTTTTCCGACGCTGCATGTGTTTGTGATCCCACTGGCCCTACCTGCCTACCTCGTTTTGAACCTAATTCGGTATGGTACCCAAAGAGTGTCCGCCGAAACTGTACAGCAGTCAAGTCGCTCATGTCCCTTTGAAAAAAAGTGCAGGCAATGTTTGGATTGCAGCTAAAGGGGGTCCTTTGTTTCCATCCATGGCACAATACACGCATTGAACAAAAAGCTTTCACGGAAGCCACGGATGGAACAACTGTTTTCCATTTGCTTAAGTCGCCAGGTAAAGTAACAAAGAAGAAAACAAGTCCAGTGATGGATTTCCTTTCAGAAAAGGGGAAAGTGAAACCAAATGGTCGTTTCAGCAAATGGACGCTACATCTAAATGATGTGGGGGGTTGATCAAACGGTCCTTTACACGGGATGCGCATTGGGAAAAAAGAGCAAAACAACTCATATTTCCACTAAAAGGGGAAAAACACCCATGTTCAAAACTGGGGCCCCTAAACGGAATATTGATCAACCCCCATATGCAGGGTGAGACAACCATGGCTTCGAATCCATGTTGGATTCCACTTTGAGGCCGAGGCGTTCATGAGGCCCAGCCGGCGCTTCAGCAGTCCAAGTGCCTGTGCAAGGCAGGGCTGGAAAATAAACACCGGGAAGCCCAACGGAGCCGAAGGCTCAGCTTAAACTCACTTGGGGGGATGGCCCAAAGAGCCCCCAAACTTCTTGCCAATGGAACCCAGAAAGGCATGAAGTCCACGAACTGAAGAAATGAGGAAGCCTGACAATGCTCAGAGAGAGTCAGGATAGAATAAAGAAAAACCTTCGGAGGGCCGCGTGCCTGTGGTACATCTGGCTTTTCTAGTAGAGAGGTTAGAATAAGGGCATCCCTTTTTCTGTAGTCTATTTTAGAAGTGGAACCCTCCCCCAAAAAAGGGTAAAAGGCACTTCTGGGGGACCTAGACATGTTTTGTTCACTTTCTTTGAACAAAAAGTTGGCTGTGCTTCAGTGCTGCTCGCCATCCTTGACTTGCAAGCCAGGGCCAAATCCATCCGCCAGGCTGATGTTGCGCTCGTCCTTTGAGTTGGTACCTTCTTTGTGGTAAAGTAGCTTTTTTGTTGGTGCCACTGGAGCTACCTGAAGTGTACCTGGAAACTGCACGTCTGGAAGACTCCCAGTCGATGCTTTCCGAACTGAACCGGCAAAAAACAACTCGACCTCCATCCTGGCACGCATGCAACAAATCAATGAAGCAGAATCTTAGCCCAACCGAAATATCACGGCCTGGGCTCCTGCCCCCACCCCGCCCCTGGATGAATCTCTTGTTCTTCAACTTCCATTTGCGTGTTTGTCCCCTGGAACAAAGGGGGTTTCTCAGATGCTCAGCAGTGAAATCGATTCAATTTAAAACCAGCAGGGGCAAACAAACCATATTCTTAGGCAAATAAGAAATGCAAAGTTCATAGACACCCACCTTGTCCCACTGGAACACCCAAGCCTTCCTCCCATATTCATTTCAGCAAATGGAAGTCAACCAGTTCTCCAGTTCTCAGCGCCGAGTGGTCTTGTCTCGGTGAAGACAAAATCGCAGGGATACCGAAGCAGGGCGACGCTTCCCATGCAACGGAAAAACACGTCGAACATGTCCACAAGATATTGCCCCACGAATACCCGTCCACATCCTTGCTTCCCCGGTTCCTCTGCTTGTTTGTGAAACCCTTGAAACGAGCGATTTGCCCTTTCGGTGTTAAACCAATCAAGAAAGAGGATGCTAAAAAAAAAACAGCTCAAACCAAACGTCAGTGCCGCAGCTAGGATTAAGGGCACCGTCGACCTCCGCTTTTGTTCTAGCCACATAAGTGTATATATATACAAATATATATATATATGTTGATTTTGCGTCATGTTTTATCAACCAATATATATATATATATATATTATTATATATATATATATATACAATGATTGCTTCTGAAACGTAAACTCCTGTCAAGCTCAGATGCCCAGTGGCCATGGGAAAAAAGGGCACCCTTTTTTTGTTGGTTGAATTTAAAGGGGAACCCTTCCCAAAAGAAGTTGAAACAGGGCACCACTGGGCCACTGGGCAACAAAGCAAATGAGATCCTAGTCATAAAACCTCTAAGTAAATAAATAATATATATATATATATATATATTACACATAATATTGATGTATGGTTCATGTTTCGTCAACCTATATATATATATATGTATAATGTTTGCTTCTCGAACGTAAACTCATGCCACATGAGACCCCGGTGATAAATCCTCAGCCCCGCCACCCTCTCAGCTCACCTCTTCGAAGTCGCCGGCCGCCACCAGATCGCAGGGCAGGCGCCGGCGCTTGAGCCACTTGGCCTGGCGCCCCGAAGCGAGGGGAACGGAAACCAGCGGCTTGGAGTCGCATTGCTGGGCTTTGGGGGGGGGGTTCTGGGGGGGGGCCACCGTTGAAGCATTATTTATTGATTTTTTTGATAGGGGGTCTAGGTCGTCCAGTAGAGAGGTTAGAATAAGGGTACTTGTTTTCCTCTTTTTTTTCTTCTCTGTAGTCTATTTTAGTAGGGGAACCCTCCCCCAAAAAAGAAACGGTAAAAGGGCGCTACTGGGGGACCTAGTAAAACCATCGGCTTGGAGTCGCATTGCCCTGGCGGACTGGGGGGTTTTTGGGCTGGGGGGGCTCATGGGGTAGTTAAAAGGGAAGCCAAACACCCTGGGTTCAGGGTTGAACACTAGGGCTCCAGCCCCCCCCCCCCAATAAAAAAAGCTTTCCCGGGAGCACATGTGATTTTGGACATGAAAAAAGCAGTGGTTGGGTGGTGGTTGCCTAGTCTGTGCAAAGATTGTTGGCTTTCCGCTTCAGAAATGTTTCAATGGAACGCCACTGTGAGTGAAGGAGCCAACCCCCTATTTCGGTTGCAACTCTACACTATAAATGGAAGCTTCATCACAGGACCGAGGTCGCAAACCACATTCTTTGCGCGGTCGCAATTCAACTGGACCCCCCCCCCGTAGCGCTGGATCCTTCATGGGTAAGTGCGTCTTACCTCCGGCGTGGTTCTTGGCGACAGCCCAACCATCAAAACTTCCCCAAGGGGAGCAACGCACTGCCAGTTGCCGGCGGCCTGCTTGACAAACTTACCCCTTAAAACTCCAAGGATTGGGGAAGTTTTCACCTTTTACAGACATATAGCCCATGTTACCCAACAAGTTGAAAAGTTTGTTTTTTTTTTGTTTAAAGAGGTAAGCAAAAGGATCTGTTGGGGGATGATCCTGTCTATGTCCATCTGCGATAAGAAGCTTCCAAACCAAACGGCCCAAGAGGCCTTTGAAGTGCCGGTTGGGGGCCAATCCGTCTTGCTTCTCCAACCCTCTCCAACCTGCTTTTTTCGACCATCGTCTTACCTCTTGGGAGGGTCTCTTTTTGGGGGAACCCATTTTTTGATGGTCTGAAAGGGAAACCACAAGAAGAGCCACCCCTATTCCTTTTCTTTCTGCTCCTTTTTTCGGAGGTTGGGGTTCCCTAAATACTAGACCACAAGAAACAAACACCATACAAACACCATTTTTGGGGAGGAACCCTTTAAAAAGACCTACTCTTTTGATGTGTGGGCCAAACAACGATCCGCTTCTCGCGCCTGGCAGGTATCGCCCAGCGTCAGGTTGACGCCACGCTCCTGTGCAAAGCTTCGAACCGGGGTTGTGGACAAATTGGACACATGAATGACATCATGGGAAATGTATAACAAGTTGATCTATCTATCTATCTATCTATCTATCTATCTATCTATCTATCTATCTCTCTATCTATCTATCTATCTATCTATCTATCTATCTATCTATCTATCTATCTATCTATCTATCTATCTATCTATCTATCTATCTATCTATATGTATATAAGTTTATATATGCATGCACATGTATCAGTTGTACGATCGGTATCTGGCCTGCCCTCAAATCTCCCCGCTACAGGCTTAACTCTTAGTGGGCTCAACACGGAAACCCAACCACTACACCAACCCCAAAACCTCTAAGTTCAACCCGGACACCCAACCACTAAGCCAGCTAAACATCTCCTACGTCTTCCAGTAGAGAGGTTAGAGTAAGGCTACCTTTTTTGCAGTAGTCTATTTTAGTAGGGTCCCGAACCCCCCCAACCAAACAAAGTTGGGAGAGAAAGGGTGCCAATTGCTGGGGGACCTAGCCTCTAAAAATCAGAGTTCCAAGTGGAACCCGGACAGCTGGCCTCCATTGGTTTAAGTCCACTGTTTTTTTCTTTAGCAAAATCTAGTGATAGATTCCCTTTGAAGACAAGCAGGGGGAAAGCAAAAAAAAACTATTCTCAAGCAAATGGAGGCGAAGGCGGCGCCAAGGTGGCCGAAGGCGGCGCCCGGGGCCGAAGGGCCGAAGGCGCCTCCACGTGCTCCACCGGCTCCGGAAGGCCGCCCAAGTCACCCAGGTCCAGGTCGCCTACGAGGCAAAGGAGGAGGGGAGACCCATTGAAGCGCTTTTCTTGTGCATGGCGTCGGCCAAAACTCGTTGCCGGAAACCCAACCACCTCAGATGCCGAGTGGATTTCCAAGGGGAAAAAGGGCACCCTTTTTTGTTGGTTGAGATTCAGGGGAACCCTTACACAAAAAAAAAGGCACCACGGAGAAACAAAGCCACTAAAACCCACTCAAACTTTTAGTGTAATTTTAGCGGGTCAAACACGGAAACGCAACCACTCAACCGGTACTAAAAGCGACAAGAGCCTAAGTTGAACCGGTTGGCTGGTTGAGCCACCAAATGTTCAATTCCTTAATACTTGCTGGTGCGAGAGATGCAGGAAATTGGAATGACCCTTATCAACCATCCAACTGGTGGTTTCCTTTGAAAGAATCCCAAACGGTTCATTCCTTCATTCACTACTGAGCACCATCAAGTTTACGTGGGAAACGCGATGAATTCAAACCCCTGGTTGGTCTTTTTGGGGGGTGTTTGTGGTTCGGGGATTCAGACCTCTTTTGGACCCCCGTAGGATGGGTCTCTTCATCTGGGATCAACACATCATATGGCCTAGAGTCATGGTTCACTTAGGACTCATTATAATGGTTAAGAATCCTGCAGATTCGTGTCTGACATCTAGATTCATGTCCGGTCCCTCGCCAAAAAAACAATCCTCGTGGGTTCAGGGTCTACTCTAACATCAAATGTATCTGTCCAAACCTCGGTATGGTACCGAAACGCTTGGTTTTGCAGCTGACCAATTTATGTACTGGTGGTTTCCATTGAGAAGATCGTCACTTTTGGAGGTTCCACAAAGGGAAATGGAGGAAACCGTGCCCGAGGGTAGGAATTCAAAAGGACACCTTGGAGGAACTAGTCCCTAATACAAAAAAACAAAACACCTGTATGACCAACCCCTTGCAGGGGACAATATTCCACGGACCTTCCGGTGGGTTCCATGTTGGTACGTCACCCTAGAGAACAGTACAACAAAGGTGGTCGCAACATTTAAGCCCGCGTCCACATCGCCCGTCTGCCAAAAAAGACGTTGTAAACTCACTAGAACAAAGCTTCACAAAAGACATATGTGTTTGCTTCCCCTTGAAGGAGAACTGTGACATGGATGCTTCACGTATCAAAGCCTAGATTTGCATTGGGCCAAATCTACAGGAGCTTCCCACAGCTAACATGCCAGGCTTTAGCTGGTCCATAGCCACTGATATCTAAACTGTCCTGGACCTTCATTCGTTACATAAATTTGTGCCCCTTGGGTGTTTCGTAGCATAAATTTGCTAGTCGGGCGTTTTTCGGGGGAACGGGCACAAATTTGGATTCGAGCACTTTTGGCTATTGCGGCGGCTTCTCTCTTCTCATGTAGTCTGTTGCGTGGACACATGTGGAAACATACCCGCAAAACGGGCGCAAATACCCGCAAACCGAGCGCAAATACCCGCAAAACGAGCGCAAATCCAAAATATGTAACAATTAGTATTTTGGAAGAAACCCGTGTTCATGAAACGAGTGTTTTTTTGGGGAACGAGCACTTTTTGGATCATTGGGCAAAAATAGTTGCCCCGAGCATGTTTCTTTCGTGACACAAATTTATGTAACAATGGAAGGTCCAGGGTCCTCTGATCCCCGCTTGAAAGTCAGCTTTTAGTGGGTTAAATGCGGAAACCCCACTAAACCAACTAAACACCTAAACACCTACGGGGACGGCTGGGAACCGCCAAGTAAAATGGGCGCAAGGGCTTGGCAAAATGTTCAGGGTTGAGTTCCAAAAAAGCGGAGCTCGCCTGAACATGTGACATGCTGGGGCGAGCGGTCCCATTGACATCCAAACTCCGTGAGGATTCATGTCCACCAAGCACTTTGGTGTCGTGGCGCCGTAAAATCCAATGACGAAAAGTTACGACCTAGGGCCTAGGGCTTACAAGCTTCAAACGCCGCGAAGCAAGTCGCGGGCGTCTCAAACAAACTCGGGGCCCTGCAAAAAACAAGTTGGCAACAAAAGTTGAGCCCCAAACTGCCAGGTGAAAGTGGATGCCAGAACTTCACTTAGGGTGAGAGAAGGGGCGCTTAAAGCGATAAACACAATGTGAATCAATGGGGAAAACGAACTCGTCATCTATTCCTCCAACTGGACATGAATCTCTTTGTGGACCAGCGACATACCGCTTTCGGCCGCAATGACTCATCTCTCTCAGCCGGTTTAGGGTTTGGATTGGTGTGAGTAGGGAGTGGTCACAAATCCCCAAAGCAATCCAAAGGTAACCTGAGTCAAGAAGCTTGAAGGTCCGACTTGCTCTTGGTCTGGATCATACCTGTGAGGATAAAAGCAAGCACTCAAGACCCAAACCAGGTAGAACGAAGCCACACCAAGTTGGCCGGACAAAAGGGGGCAACTACCACCCTAAAAAAGACACACCCATTTCATTCCCCCCCTAAAAGGAACCCGTTGGGAAACACCAAAAAGGGAGGACTGCAGCGACCCTGTACCAACATGCACTTGCTCTCAGAATGCCCTGCCTCCCCAGTCGCCGCCGCCCATGTCGCCGCCCAAATCCAGGGCGTTGTCCTGACTGCTGCTGACCCTCGTCCCCAACGCCCTTAAGGCCCTTGAGCGTCCATGGCGACAGCCCACAAATATGGCTGTGGGTCAAAACCCTGTTCTCCTGGTGAACATCAAATTAGGTGGCAAAGGGATGATCATCCACCCCAGAATGGAGCCATAGGTTCTGGTGCATGGAGGCCCTGTAGGGCGTCCATGGCGACAGCCCGGAAATATGGTGTTCCTCGTGAAACAAAAGAGTGCCCTCTGGTTTTCTGGGAGATGAAACTGACAAAACATATGGGTGTGGCTCAAAAATAGAAGTCCAGAACCCTGGTAAATGGAGAGGTAGACTAAAACCTGCGGTTTGCCCCAAGTGTATAATTTTGACCCACGGCCATATGGTGCTGCCCGCTTACCCTGAAAAGAAAGAGTTCCTTCTGGTTTTCTGGGAGATGAAATGGACAATGCACCACTCACGGTGACAACACCTCTGGGCTTGACTAAGAACCAGGGCCCCCTGGTTTTCTTTGAGAACCATAACAAACGAGTATATACTGTCAAAAAATGACTCGCCCATACAAAGATCGGTAAAACAACACATGTGTGACTGTGTGTGCTTGATTTCTGAAGGGTATTCCGCTTTGGGGTTGGTTTTGAAGGCAAACCAAAGGAACACCAGCACTTCCCTTTTTTGGGGGCCCGATTTTGACACATGGCCCTAGAAACACATCTGTAGTCCTCCCTTTCAACCCCCCCTTTTTAGGGTATCACCGCCGATATCACGCGGAACCGCGGAACCGCCTCGTCGCCCCAGGCGGGCTCTTCTGTGTCCTAGGCTTTTGGGTTCAGCTTTTGGAAAGTCACCCCAGAAAGGGGCTTGCTTACAGGGGTCACTGGACTAGGTCCTCCAGATTTGAAAGGATCTAGAATAAGGCTACCCGATTTTTTGTTTGTGGTCTGTTTTAGCAGGGGAACCCCCCCGCAACAAAAAGGGCACTGGGGGACCTAGTGGATTTCCCCTTCAAAAGTTGCAATTTACTGGTGGTTTCCCATGAAGCCTGTCTGGAAATGCAAGGCGCGCGAACAAAATACGGGGCGAGAACATGTTCTTTCGGTGTTCGTGAAATCCGAAGGCCCGCGACTTCCGATTTCCGCATAGGAGAGAAGCAAGAGGAGTCCTTGTACATCCCCAACATAACCCCGAAGGAAAGCTCGACAGCTCTCAAAAGGTAATGCTAAAAATTCCCAGTCAGTGACCCTGTTATAGAAAGGGAACCCTTTTTGGGGTTGACCACTTTTGGTTGAAACCCACCAAGCAAAAAGGAGCAAAGGAAACCACTGGCCCAGGCGTTGGGCGCAAAAAAAAATCGAGCTCGGAACGCGAGTGGAAGCTTCCAACTGCCCAGCCCATGGGGCGTGGAAACCTGCCATTTTCAGAATTTGCAAGGAATCCCTAAGACAACTCATTGATTCCTGTGAGCTTGAACTTTGGCTTGCCCTCAAATAACACTCCAACCATCCTGAGATGCCCGCATCTTCGACATCAAGTTTACGTCCCCTGGTGCTTCATGGATTCATGTCAAACTTCTTCTTGCAAGGATCATCCTCACTTCCTCCATCGGTTGGCCAAACAAGTCCCACCATGTTGTGTACCACTTACATCTCGTCTTCCCAGAAAGTGCAGAACTGGTTAAGTCAGGAATTCCGCTGCAGATACGCAACGAGCACTTGCATCGTTCTTGTTTGAAATAAACAACCTAAGAAACAACCAAATGGGTGTGTCGTTGCTGAGGGATGTTGATTGGGTTTTGAAGGAGAACAAAAGGGAAAACTATGGGGTCTCGAAATTTTGACACACCTCCGGCGTCTCCGGGACCATTCTCCTGTCCAAATGGCAGCGCTCTGAATCAAAACCCTTCGCATGCTAAAACTTGTTTGGGACCACACAAAGTGTGTGGGGCTGGCCCCAATTCATGAGAATCCAAAAGCCCCCTTTCAGATGGAGGTGACCAACCTTTTCTCAGGACTTGCCCCCAACTTAAAAACAGCTAAGAACGAATTTGTCTAAGGCATCACAGGGGCTGGGGTGGAGGGAGGGTGGGGAGGGAGCCCAAATAACACTCAGGCCTTATTCAGGCCTACTTCTTTCTCCGCATCTCCAAATCTGCTGGAATCTCCAAATCTCCGAAAATCTCCGCAGCTCCACATCGCACTTCAGCTCTCCCAAAAACCCTTCCCTCCCAGCGCCCATGATAAGATCGTAGCCCCCCCCCCAAAAAAAAAAACTCCCGGCTCCACCTCTCCCCCAACAACAACCCACCTCCCACCTCCCACCTCCCACCTCCCTCGCTCCGACTCGATTCTCGGCTCCGAATCGGATCGGATCCGCACCTCCGGGGCATCCTCCTGGGCATCCAAAAAGGCCTCCGAGCCCGGCATGGGCGGCGGGGCCGCGGCCTGGTTGCGCTCGCGGCGCGCTCGCGGCGCGCTTCTGGCGCTTCTGGCGGTTGAGCCCTGGGCGTTCCGCTTAAGCCGCGGGGTTTTCAGAAGCTCAGCTAGGTCAACTCCAGATTTCAGAGGTGAGAATAAGGCTACATCATGTTTTTTCCTGTAGTCTATTTTAGGGGAACCCTCCCCCAAAAAAGAAACGGTAAAAGGGCACCACTGGGGGAGGGAAGCTTACAGGGGCCCAAGGTCAAAAGCCCTCAGATTTTCGGGTGTGCTAGGCTAAGGGAACCTTAAAACAATCCCACCCCCTTGGACTTCTCACCTTAGGAACTCCATAAACCAAAAAAAAACTAAAACAAAACCACCCCTTGGACCACTCACCTTACAAACTCCGTAAACAAATTGTCCCCAACTGGGCTGTCCGTTTTCAGATCCCCTGCGAAAAGTGACTAACTTGTGGGTGAAATGCGGAAACCCAACCACTAAACCAACTCAAAACAGCTTAACAACTAAGTTGAACCGGACGATTCGCTGGGACCCACCCTGTGCTGCCAGCTTCTGAAGAATGATCATGTCGAGCCGTTGGCTCCGTGAGTACTTCACACAGCAGTTTGCCTGCACGCAGAAACAGCGCACTGGGTGCCTGTTGAACAAGTACGGAGGCTGTGCTTGCGAGTGCCCCAAAGGAAACTCAGCTTGCAGACCCAACAGGCGATGTGCAAAACCACCTTTCAAGGGGAGAGGATAGGGACTTGTGTGGTACTCACAGGGACCCGCTCCCTCCAGGAAACTGATCTTCCAGGTGCCACAGGTGCCGAGGTAGCGGGAGAGAGGGCGATGATATTATAATCAGCTTCTCGTAGCATTAATTGAATGATCTCAGTGGCTAGCATATCACAAGTATCATGCAGATAGCATTGTGAATTGTATCTGCTGGGGAACCCCCTAGCCAAACAGGTGACACACTAGTGGATTTCTTTGTGCTAAATGAGTGCTGCCAGCTACCTATCATACCCTCTTTCCAAGAATGTAAGTGGGTTTTGTTCCTTGTTGTGGAATAAAGGCACTGTTTGCTTGGTCGATTCGAAAGGGGAACCACCCGGAAAAAAAGAGAGGAAATTGCACCTCTGGGGGTGTGCAAGTGGTCTTCTACCCTCATCTGCAGCTTCCGTTTGGAGGGCAAGGATCAGACTGAGTGATAGGGGGATGTCCAACTTGAAAGGGGACTCCAGACTCTTCTTTCTTTTTTTTTTTTGGGGGGGGGGGAACACCCAAACAATGGGCCCTAAAAATAATCCGATCGGTTCACTAATCTGGAGTCGACGTTAAGAAGGGTGCTACATGTTCCAACCAAGTATCATCCGAATGAACCCCTTGCTTTCTGGCATCTTTGGTCATGGCTTTAGAGAACACCTACTCCAAACAGCTCCTATTTTCTCATTCTATCCCCCCCCCACTTGAAGACAACGCAGCCGAAACCGGGAGCCAACCAGTGACATCCACAGAAAGGTCATTCGAACAAAGACAGCCATAGAAAGGTCATCTCTCAAGACAAACACAGATTGAGACATGACCCCAGAGAAGAGAACAAAAATCGTGGCATCACGCACCCACAGGCTCTCAGCGAATTGCTCAATAGCTCCCCGCTCGCTTGCCTCGAAGCTGCTCTTCTCGAAGATCTTCTTGGTGGACCTGCGAGCTAAGACCAGCTCCCCGGAATGCGCAGGATCGAAACTTGTGTGCGCCTCGTTTTTGAGGGCACTGTGTTTTTTTGGGGGTGGCTTAAAATTGGCTCACCAGGAGAAAACCACTTCTGCGTTTTGTGTTCGTTTGTGGTTTCAACTTTGGAACAACAAGAGGAAAACCACATGTTGTTGTTGCGGTTTTTGTTTTTTTTGGGGGGTCCCCATTCCAAGACACCCCCGTTTCCAAAAGACATGGACCCCTGGGGGCATCTCACGGACCCAAGAACGTAGCGAGAATGCCTGATGTCCAGAAACGCATCCAACAAAGAGGGATACAAAGCACTACTAGAGGTCTGAGTGGAACTGGACGCTTTGCATCAGAAATACATGGTTGTATGAATCTTGGGTGGATGGGTCAGGCATGATTCTGAAATTGAAACGGAACCCTTTCGGTGAAACTACCTTTTCTAGGGAGGGTAGCATGGGTAACCCTATTTAGATGTAAGTTTCAAAACTGTACGGAAAAGAATCAAACCTGGACAAATTATAATAATTTCTACCTCGTACCTCGAATTATTAAAAAAAGTAATAACATACTACCTCGCAAATTAAGGGTCCACCTCGCATCTCGTATTTCGGCGCCTTCCTTGCCTCCTAAAAGAGTGTAAAATTAGAGGGGGGTTGAGCCAGATGTATTGTTGAACCTTTTTTTTCAAACGTGTGTGCTTCAAGCTTGTTAAGGGCAATTAAGCAGAAACGGCCTGTTTTGACAACTTGAGACCAGTCTCAATGAGAGACAAACAAGGGCCGGATCTTCTCAAACGTCTGTGTTTTCAAGCTTTTCAAGGCCAACTAAGCAGAAACGGCTGGTTTTTGAGAAGTTGAGGCCAGTCTGAATGAGGGACAGCGAAGGGCCGGATTTTCTCAAACGCGTGTGTTTTCAAGCCAATTAAGCAGAAACGGCTGGTGTTTGAGAAGTTGAGGCCAGTCTGAATCGGAGCTGGTTTTTGAGAAGTTGAGGCCAGTCTTAATGAGAGAAAGAGAGAAGGGCCGGATTTCTCAAACGAGTGTATTTTCAAGCGTTTGAAGGCCAATTAAGCAGAAACGGCTGGTTTTTGACAGCTTGATGTGTCTTAACGAGAGACAGCGAAGGGCCCCGGACTTTCTCGAACGTGTGTGTTTCAAGTTTCTTCAGGCCAAATAAGCAGAAACGGCTGGTGTTGGAGAACCTGATGCCCGCCTCAATGAAAGACAGAGAAGGGCCGGATTGTCTCAAACATCTATATCTGTGTTTTCAAGCTTTTCAAGGCCAACTAAGCAGAAACGGCTGGTTGTTGGGAATTTGAGGCCAGTCTTAATGAGACAGAGAAGGGCCATATTTTCTCAAACGAGTGCGGTAGCAAGCATTTTAGGGCCAAATAAGCAGAAACAGCTGGTTTTTGAGAACCTGATGCCCGTGTTAATGAAATTCAGGGCTCGGATTGTCTCAAACATATGTGCTTTCAAGCTTTTTACGGGGGTCGGAATCTCGCACACCTGGCCACACTTGGCGCCCCGGTGCGCCGAATAACACCCCACAGATTTGAGAAATCCTTATTTCGGAAACCACCTCGTAATTCGGGGTTTGGGGCTCGCCTCAGGCCAGTGAGCTCGCTATAATTTGTCTAGATCAAACGGACATCATGTCAAGTTTAGATTTCTGCACAACCCATTTCTGCACCCCAGCCACCCAACCAACTGACCAGGCAAGCGTGTTGCAAGGGGCAGCCTTTGGTTTCATGGCCCCGAGGGCTTCGCGAGCTGAAAACGAGAGCTGGCTGCAGCTAGGGAATGATCCATGGGAAGGAACCAGGTCTTGGGGAGTCCCGAAGAAAGGAAACCATAGGCCGGATGGCTGGTTTTTATATGGCCATCATTTCATTGCCTGCTGAGAACCAGCAAGAAAACTGGAATCTTCAACACAGGAACGAACCGCGCTTTTATACCAAAGGAAACAAATCCGGGAACAAATACCGCCAACGCGCATAGAAACACCGCCTGAACCAGCATTGACCCGGCTAATCAGGAGTCCCCCTTCCGCAGATATATTAATCTACTCTCCGGATTCCAATGTTGACATCTGGTCACTTGATTGCGTCTTGTTTAGGGGTCCCCCAAGGGAGCAAATGTAAGGACCTTATGAAACCAGGTACAAGGGTCCCGAAGAACCAATTCCACTGCCAAGTCACGCCAAACCTGGCGAGGAAAAAACATTGTTCACACTGGGGAGGACAAAGGGCCCCGGGTTTGTTTCTGTTTCTGTACCAATGGCGATCTTTAGGACCAAGTGGCATCAGGACCAAGTGTCATCCAGTTTGCAGGGCCAGGCTTGGACAGCAGACAAATAACTCAAGTTGGCAAATGTAAGCATCGAGGCAAACCTGGGAAAAAGTTGAAAGTTCAGAAGTTCTTGAAAGATCCTAAGTTGTAAACTTGCTCAGTAGGGAATGACCCAGGTGTTGGGAATGAACCCCGAGATTCCCTTCAAGCAAACCACAAAACACACGTTGAATTGTCATTCCCATTCCCTGCCTATCGAACCAGCCAGAAAAGTCTGGCATCCAAGGAACCTTAGATCCCCTGCTAAAAGCTTAACTTTTAGTCGGATAAATACGGACATGCCCCACTAAACCAACTAAAAAGCTAAGGAACCGGGTGGCTGGGAGCCACCAACTCAAAGGCACTCCGGACGAATTCCGTGCTGACCAGTTTCTTTAGGTCCTGCAGATTTGAGAGGATAGAATAAGGGTACCCTTTTTTCTGTTCCCAGAGGCTCCCGATGGATTTAGGGCCTTCAAACAACCTGGTTTTGAGACCCCCAACCACCGATTCCCGGGGTGTCTAATGGAGGGGTCGGGTCTTCCATTGAAAGCCCCAGGAGCTTCTGGGTTGTCTATTTTAGTAGTACAACCCTCCGCCCAAAAAAGTGGGTAAAAGGGCACTGGGGGACCTAGTTCCGGGATCCCCCACGTCAGCAGCGGCCAGTTGGCCGAATCGCCGGCCACAGGGCGACACAAGGGCACTGGAGGCACCAACCTTGGCGCTCGCGTCTCGACATTCGCGCCGCACCGCGTGTGGCGAATTCCACCGTTCCCCGGCGGGCACCGTTTAGAAACCATTCCCCTGTAAATAGTCACCAACGCTATGGCTTCAACCATGGTCTCAAAGTGCTGCGAAATGGATTTCGTCAATTCACAGTTCCGTTGTGTTGACCCCGGATCTAAGTAGAACCCGGCATAAATTATGGGGGGTATCCCCTGTGCTGAATCCAACCACTCAAACGGGTGCTTTCCCCTTGCAAACAGGCTGGGGTTTATTGATCGGAGTTTCCAGTACACACTTCAACCTTCAGCCCGAATCCTAGGATTTAAGTCTTGACCATCATTTTCGTCAAAGATGAGGACCAAACACTTTGACCCAGCTTGGTAGGGCACCCTCCGTCCCACGTTGCCATGGCAACTGAAACAGGGTGGCCCCAAGCGGAAAACCATCTTCCAGGTACTGTACCCTCCCTCATGGCAACGTGGGAGGAAGGGTACCCTTACGGCAGACACAAAGGACCAATTGCTTGAGTTTTGATTTTGAGAGGCCGGAGAAAACCAAAGGCCTCCCCCCCAAAGGATAGAAGCAAAATGTAGAAAAAGTAAAACCCTCGGGGTCTAAGAGCCGTTCTGGGAGGGATACACATGGGTGTGCGGTTGTCTTTTAGACTGCCCAAAATGAGGACGAGGGCAGGCTCACAGCAACCGTCAGCTCGCCTCATGCTACATCGGCTCTGTTCACTTTCACAGAATGGCCTCAAACTGAGGCAACACCAAATAATTAGTATGGGTCAAAATAAAAACCACCAGCAAAGGGGCCGCAGGCTTCAGTCCTTTTCCATGGACCAGGGCAACCCCTTTTGGTGCCCATTTTTTGACCCAAGCCCCTTCAGGGACCCTACGTCCGCCCCCACTATGAGGTGCGATTGGGGGAAGTGTGCCCCTGAGGCAACTCTTTTGCCACAGCACTCCTCTCACACATGAGCCGCCTGCTTGATTAGCCACGTGTGCTGTTGAGAGTACCCTTTTGGGATTGGTTTAATTTAAAGGGGAACCATTACAGGGATCCTTACATTATACACCTGAACATTGCAACTTGTAAATGGAGGTGTCCCTTTATTTTGGTGTTGAAAAAGCAACATGTTTCAACTGGCTGCAAAATGAATTTCTTTTAAGGAGTCCTGCATTAGAAGGAAATCAATCATTTCGGTGGTCCCCCGATTTTGACACACACCCGCATGCTTGTGGAAAAATATCGTCTAGCTGACGTGAGAATGCATGATTGCCATGATCACCTTATCGCTTTACAGGGGAAAATCGAATGTTAAAAAGCAGGGAACGCTTTTTGTTGCACACGTATTCCTGTGGAAAAGGGACCCCCCAATCCCAAAAGGGGCGATTGGCCTGCAAAGGACTGTTCTTTCGTTCCTGTTGGGTGTCTTGTTTTTTGGGGAGGGGACGGCCCTCTTTCAGACGCCCCTGACAACCATGGAACGTAAAGTGAAAGTCGGCGCATTTGTGATGAATCACATATGGGTCAAAATCCAAAGCCCGCCGTACCCTCAGTGAACATCCCAATCCCCACTGAAATAGATTCTAAAATGGGTGCTGAATTCACCTACCAAAAAATGGGACCCCAAAACGGTATTGACAACCACAGCCACATATTGAAACCACGCTTGAAAAGGGTCGCCGGTGTACTCATTTTGAAATCCCGCCTCAGGGGGTTTCCCGGTGCTTCTTCTCGGGATCCGCCTGGGGGACCCGGGTTTTTGTTTTTGTTGAAACAGGGATTTTTTTACATTGTACACCTGAACATTCCCTGGTCAATGGTGGTTTCAACCTTTATTTTGGTGTTGAAAAAGCCACATGTTTCAAATGGCCAGGCAAAATTAGAACTTCTTTTGAGGAGCCCTGTGAAATCGGCCCGGGCCCCAGTGTCTGAATTCCGGCCTGTGCCGAACGCGAACTCGGGCGCCTTTTTCTTTCGAACTCCCGCGGCGGAAAACAACCAAACAGGCCGGGGTTCCACAGAAAAAGACACCAAGGCCTGTGTTCAACAACACAAAAACCGTTAAACCCCCAGGCGTGATTTCCAGAAAAACAGCGGAGCCCCCATGCGTGTGTGTTCAACAAAAAAGAAACGGGACTCCTCAAGCGTGATTCCAAAATGTGCGATTCCAAAAAGAACACACTAGCCCCCCAGAAATTTTAAAACAACACCGGAACAGTGGTGAGTTTGTGTTTGGAACCACCAGTCGCTCGTTTATTCGCTTACTCGCTTCGTCTGCGGAAAAACACCAAAATGAGAATCTAAATGAACAAACACGGCTGGTGTGAATAAAAAAAACAAAACACTGGTTCCTGTGCAAGTCCAGCTTTCACCATGTTGATTCTCAAGCTTGGCGCCCAACCTTGTGCGGAATGCACATTTCACCTGGTTCGAGTCCACGAATGTCTATCATCCGAGCCTCCAGTCTGCACAAATTACAATACTTGGCTGGAAAAATCGGACCCCAGCAAGAAAAATATGTTTTGCCTGGTTAGTGGAAAACAAACGGGACCCCAAAAAGCAAAAAAGCAAAACGGGGAGCTAATTCTGGGGAAGAATAATGCACAAACTAAATTTTGGAATGCAAGAAAGGAACTTTCCATCTTAGAATTCCACCATGGAAAAACAGAAGGCGCTCCGCCTCCTTCGGCGAGCTCTCTTAATTTGTGCAGAGAGGATAGTTCAGGCATACGGGTGTGCTCGTAGCCTGCAAAGCTACTTCCGACCGAAAGCCTGCCAAAGATCAGGTGCACAGAGAAAGATGGGCTACTCCAACTGCCAGTGACCAACTGCATCACAAAGCCATACTGGGTAGTTCGCAAAATAAGGAAGCCCAAACAGTTGTATTGACAACCAACAATGGGTACTGATTGTTGTTGACACTTCCATATCGTCTGAATAAAACAACAACAGATAGTATTCTTGTGACAACAGCGTCACGCATTCCAGGCGGCAGCCTGCTTAATTGAGGTAAGCACACCCAGCTTGCTTGAACCACCTTGAAACACAACATTGACTACAGGAAACCCTTGAAACATGCCCCCCGTTGCCTCAACTGCAACCTGCAGACGAATCGTTGCATCTCCCCGACCCGCCCCTCAGCTACACCAGCGTTTTTGGTTGGTTGAGTTTGAAGGGAACCCTTCCCGGAAAAAAAAAGAAAAAAAGTTGGAAAAAGGGGGCCGAATCCACTGGTTGCAACTGGGCCAGAGCCGTGGCTTGGTTGCCAAATACGTTTCCTTGCTTCACGCCAGCGACCCAGGCCCGAGCAAGCCAGTCATTTCACGTCAGCGGCCCATCTTTCTTCGCTTCCCGAGTGGATGGCCCGGAAAAAAAAAAAAAAGTGCAATTGTGTGTATGCCACTAAAGATGGTCTTCCAAACTGTTTTTTGGTTTTTTGTATGCCACTAAAAAATGGTCCAACCCCACAACAGTACAAAGTCCATGACCTCAAGCAGCAAGTCTCGTAAAGGGCCCTCTTCGACCCTACGGCCGTGGCAGGCTTCGGTCGCTCTCATCCTCGCTGGACGAAAAGTTCGGCAGACGGCGCCGCGGCAGCGGGGCCTCGCTTCCGCCGCCCGCGAGGCGGCGGACTTGGGCCCAAAGCGCGGCCTGGCGCGCCTTGCTCAGTGAGTGGAAGATCTGGTACCCGGCGCCGACGAGGCCCAAGCCTGGAAAGCGATAGGAATCAAACAGCCGGGGTTGGGTTTGTAGCCCTGGTCAATGGGGGGTGCCTGCACTGGAGAGTGCTTGGAAAAAGTCGGGGGAACCTAGGTCCTCCAGATTTGAGAGGTTAGGATAAGTTGGTACCCGATGTTTTTCTGTTTTGTCTATTTTTGTGGGGGAACCCTCCCAACCAAAAAAGGGTGAGAAAGGGCACCTAGCTGGGGGACCTAGGACCAGTCGGGGTGCCTGGTCAATGTGTACTTTATACTTGGTGGTGCGAGAGATGTTCCGGGAATGAGAAATGGAATGACCCCGAAATCCACGCCATCTATGGTTTCCGTTTAGGGAATTCCTAGGTTCCTGTTGATTCCCTGAGAACCAGCAAGGTTTCTGGCCAGCCCGCAGGGCGCCTTGGTGCCGGTACCTTGATTCTGACTTCTGAAGCCCTCAAAGGGAAGGTCAAAGGGCACTACTGGGGGACCTAGCCAAAAACACTGTGGATACTGCCACGTGGCCTGTTTCTTCAGTCAACTGAGACGGCCCTGCGACCTGGCATTCGCTGCCCGCGCCCAAAGCTGTATTGATTATAAGCTGGAAACGGGTGGGACATACTCATGGACATAGGTGGCCTTTTGGGAAAATATGGTGGGTTTCCCGGGTAAATGGAAGAAACCCCATCTAAACCAGTGGAACCCATCTATGTTTAATCAAGCTAACCTAAAAAGGACACCTATGCTCATGGAATTCTGCCACTAGCTTAGCCCTGAAATTTCTTGCCCCCACTAAAAGAATGGCCCAAGGGGACCATATTTTGGATGACAATCCTGGACGGTAAACCACGGAGCCCCTATAAACCATCCAACTGGCGGTTTCCTTTCTTCGGAAATCCCAAAACGGTTTATTCCATTTCTCCTTCCCCCTATAAACCATCCATCCTATGGATCCCAAAATGGTCCATTCCATTCCCTCCTTCCCTGCATCTCCCGCAGCAAGACAATTACACCCAACCCAGACGCTGGACCTTCGAAAGGAAGACCCCTCCATTGGCCCCAGATCGGTTTGGGGGTCTCAATGGCTTGAGGGCCTGACATAAATCGAATTGGGGCGTCGACCCACTTCCCACTTCACTTCCGAGCGAGGCCTAGGCATCCCACGTCGCAAAGGTTCCAGAAGTGGACCCAGGAGGGTGCCTGGGCCAAAGGCGCTCCCAGAAAAAATGTGGCTGTACCATTTTGGGGGTAGGTGAATTCACCCATGTTAGCCTATTTTAGTGGGGA